TATGCTAGTTGGATGTTTCTTTATATGAACTCTTGGGAGTAGCTGTTTCGTTTATAGATCTGTTGACAAGGGCCTTGCCGGCCGAGGGCTTAGTTTTAAGCCGAGATATACTTGTTTGTTTTCTTGATTGCGTGTGGCTGCCATGCACTAGTAGAAAATGGTTCAGCAGGATCGGCTCGGGCCTGAGTTTTGGCATTAGGAGTCAGTTGCGCCCCTTGAGTTTGGGCGTGACATAAGGTATCCTTTATTGTATCATCAATATATATAGATGTTTATACATCTCTGATATATAGTTATACATTACTTCATCTACATAAGAGTATACATTATTTATATAATATCAATACAATGTTATATATATACATGTTGATACATCACATATACATAGGACTATTTTATTGAAAATAATTTTTATTGCATGTACATATATTGCTAATTTTGGGCTATTTTTCTATATAAATAAAAAATTGATTATATTTAATGCAAATAAAATTACCTTATTATATATTTATGACTTTTACCTTTTAAAAATTAAGTCAAAAAATAGGTTATATGCGTATATATATACTAGATTCACCGCACGTGCGTTGCACGTGGGTTTGTCGTCTTGAGGTTGATTCAACAATGAAAATGAATTGGGTGTCGCATATGATAGTTTGAAGTCCTGTTTCTCTGTGAATTATTTTGTTAATGTGTAAAGGGGTATGCTAAGTTTCAGTGCAAGTATCTTTGACGTGTATGTGAAGTCTTCATCTCCCTATACATGGCGATGTTTATTGTCAATGTATATTTGAGTTGTTTGTAATATGACTTTGTATATTATTATTAATTACGCCATATACTTTGCGAGGTGTCAGTTAAGTTAGCTTCGTGTTGTAAGGCATGTGCAGGCAATTGTAATATCTTATATTTGTTACTACGACATATGTTTCGAATTAATTCTGCATGATTTGACAGTTTTGTCTGTTACTTCTGTTCTGTCATGTTTAACATGTCCCCTTTAAATAGTGTATTATAATGTAAGTGTATAATTACATAATAGAATATATATAACTGTAATGTCATATTAGTTCGTTCTATGGTGTTGTTCATATAGTCGTCCCTTCGATTAAACTTTTGAATACATCTGAATAATCTTTCATTTGATTCATTTAATGTGTTAGTTTTCCCATCTCCGATTGCTTCGATTTCTTAGCATTTATCAAATCTCGCCTAAAACTTCCTTGTACACAATATTTCTTGTGTATGTCCCTTTGTACCGTTCTGGTTGTTCAGTCATGACCAATACCTTTGTTGTCGCCATAGATATTCCTCTTGATAGTGCTACGTACAGTTGACCATGTGAGAAGACATGTTGTGGTAGGTACAATCCAACATTCGGTATTGTTTGACCTTGTGCTTTATTTATTGTCATTGCAAAACATAGACGTATTGGAAACTGTTTCCGAATAAATTTGAAAGGATATCCTTCATTCTCCGGTGGTGATAGTTGTATCCTTGGAATAAACACTTGTTTTGTTGCATATTGACCTGTTGTTATTTCGGCATGTATGATATTCTTGTCAAATCCTCTACAAATTAAGCGAGTCCCATTGCATAATCCATTTGAGGGGTCTAGATTTCTCAACAGCATGATTGGCGCATTTTCTTTCAGCACTAACCTAATATGTAAATTGTAAAGATTCATTAATTGTTATGTATTCTTAGGAACATATTTGTTGATTTATCTTTTGCGCTATGAAGTAACATAATAAGACATTTAAAAAAGTTTAGACAGATTTGATAATGTACCTATGGGGTGGTAGTCCATTTGGTGTTAAGGTGTTGAGGTATTCTTCTTGATAGTAGTTGTTGGTATCATCTTCCGCTGAGTCAAAACTGATATATGTTTTTGTTTCTCCAGGGAATTTCCCAATCAGGATTTCATTTAGATTATCTACAAATTCATTTCTACTTGCTAAGATTGCCCGTTCCGTTATATAGTCAGTAGATCTGTAATTTTGTTGAAGGTCTGGAAATATTTCCCTGATCAAGGTTTCTTCTGGATTACCATGTTGTGTATGTTGTACAGTCATTTGTTCTGGAAGTGCTATTAAATTATCCTTTATTGTGGTTTCTTCCCCATTTCCAACTCGAAGCAAAAAGTTACTAAAATGTGTATCTGCTCTTGCTCGCATATTTGTTGATAGTTGAATCTTTTCCATTAAAGGCCACAAATACGACTTAACCAAACTTGCATTTATCGTCTCCGCGCGTGTAGATTTTGGTACAACAGGCAAAACTTGACGGAAGTCCCCTCCAAATACCATGACTTTCCCTCCAAAAGGAATGTCGCTATCCATTATATCGCGAAAGCTTCTGTCGACTGTTTCAATTATGTGTCTATTTGCCATGGGTGTTTCGTCCCATATTATTAATTTTGCTTGTCTAATTAGTTTAGCTCCCCCACCTTGTTTCGACATATTTGTCATTGTTGTCTCATCTACTTGTAGTGGTATGGCAAATCTTGAGTGTGCCGTACGTCCTCCAGGCAATATTGCTGCTGCTACACCACTGGTTGCAGTTGCTAATGCTATCATACCTTCTGATCTAACCTTTCCTAGTAACGCGCGATATAGGAATGTTTTCCCAGTTCCCCCAGGCCCATCCACAAAGAACAACCCCGGTGTTTCTGAGTCGACCCTTTCAAGAATGGTATTGTAAGCTTGCGCTTGTTCTTGATTCAATTTTGATTGAGAGGCAACATCTTCAGCTGGCACTTTCACAGACATTTCTTCTATTATTTCTCTACATTCACGTGGTTCAGTTTGAAGTGGTTGTTGTTTGATCTGAGGGATGTCATATTTGTCCACACTTTGTCCCATACTCTCCAAGTAATAGTTAATACTTTTCAAGGTACATTGGATTGGTGCGTTTGTTGTGCTTGAATGGCTCCTTTGAAAATCTTCGGACATATCCCCATAATATGTGTCCCAGAGACATCTGACATCTGTTGGGTTGCAATGAACCAAGATTGTTGCAAACAAACATCGAAGGGCGGCGGGCATCTTGAAGGTGACAGCCTCGCGTAAACATTCTGAAATGCTGTTATCTGATTCTAATAACCCTCTTTCTTTGGCTGCCTGTTTAAAAGTTTCACAATGCTTTCCATTAACAGTGAGTAAGTATTCAAATGAAGTTGGCCCTCGAACGTGATTCAATAATAGCCTTTCATAGTACCTTTCTCCTTCTCGTGGATTAGCTGCGATATTGAGCATCTATGTTTATTATGTGAAGCTTTTGTATTTAATCGACATAGAAAGTACGTGTAATTGTCTTACCAATATTTATGCGACCAATGACGGTGCGGGATTTTCTTTTTGTCCATATTTTGGATTGGGAGTTCCAAACATAATACTCTGGAAATTCTCTGTAGAGATATTTGCGAGCCTCAACGTCTATAGAGCATATCTTGAAATACTCGGTAAGCATAGTTTTGTTTGCAAAATCAGATTCCACAATAGTTTTTAGATTTTGCCTCTTCCAGTAGCACACTACATATCGTTTTGTAAGTATATTATAAAGTAATCGGGTTATTTTGTGTTGTCATGGTTGCTATCAATAATATATGAGTAAAATTTGTAAAGTACCTGTTTGTTTGCCCGGTAGATGTAACTGTAGGTTTATAACTGCTGGATGCATTTCAGTTAGGTTAAATTCATAGATTCGCCACATTGCTTCTGGTGGAGACACCCAACGTGCATCTTGGAAGCTTTTGATTTCGTCAATGACTTTTTCCCCATCGTTTGATTCAATGTGTACTGCACATTTGTCGTGCCCTTTATATATATATTTGTAAAGATACTTTATTGCTTTAACTCCTGAGCATACCTCAACATTAATGTGACAATTATATCTCATCAACAAATATGGATTATATGGTACAACCCATTGGTTATTCATCTTCATTCCCCGGACCTCACTTGTTTTCCCATCATTTCTCTTTTGTAAATTGGATATCCATCCTTTCCTTGTATTGTTTTGTTGTTGAATGTTCGTGGGTAGTGAAATTTACATTGTCCATCCTTCATACATGGGCTTGTCTTTCGTTTTTCACCGCAAGGTCCATGTATCATATGTCTTACAACTAATGCCCTCAATTCTGGATGTGTGTCACTATCCGGGATTTCGGCAGAAATGTATCTATCATACTCGTCTGCTGATCGTATCTTATTACCTTCTTTAAATATTAGAAGCAGGTGTATATGTGGTAGGCCTCTTTTCTGAAATTCTACCACAAAAACATGTGCTGCAATCGGTCCAAATATTTCTTTTTTGAAGATTTGATCTTTCAAGTCTTGTAATTTTGCTCGAAACACTCTGGTAACCAAATCTGGCCTGTCTTGAGGTAGTTGACCTGGAAGCAAGGCTTGTTGAATCTCAATCCATTCTGGGTTACATGTCATGGTGATGAATAGGTCTGGTCTTCCAAACTTTTGAACCAACGCCATAGCATCCATATAGCGTCGTCGCATATCCCTGGGGCCTCCAATGAACGATCCTGGCAGTAATACCCTTTGTCCTACCTTGTCCCCTCTACTCTCGCCTGCCGTGACACTATCCACAATACCTTCGAGTATCTCCCTTCGATAATTTGATTGCTCTAATCTATAATATTCAAGTCTTGTTGTTTCTATTTTGATGTATATGTCCACAACAAACTGCTGCAACAATCTCCCGCACAGTAACAATATGGACTTGTCACTTGTTCGGACTTGTAGTTTATAACAGTAGTACTCCCTGCAGGAAATCGAACCTTTTGTTTCGCGTCGTACACCTACATGTAGTTAAAAGTACAAGTTATGGATTACTAATAATGGTAGTGGGAAATTCATGGACATAACTGCATAATGCAACACTGACTTTTAGGCGAGCCAGTGTTTTTTCTATTCCATAAAGTAAAGTATCATATAGTGCGTATTTTTCTCTAGTCAATTGGAATAAGTAACTTTTCCATATTATCTTTATAGCATTTGAATTTTATTATTTACAAGGTGTAAGATGCTAGGCAATTGGATGTATATTTTTGTTGGCTATATGTGAAAGTGCTTACCTTGTTCTTCATGGGCAAACATCTCTGCGGCATTTGTGAATGATGATCTACCTATTTGGTGACTTGGTAACGCCGCTCTTTGACTGTTTTTTATTGGATTGCGACACTTTTGTATTCCTTGATGCCAACCTCCTTCTCCTTTAGGAAGTATTAGAGGATATTGAAGTGGATCATAACATCCATAATAATGTTTGACTCGATGTTTATAACCTGAGTGTTCATGTACTGCAATATCTCGTTCAAACGGTATATTTGGATTGTTACCGTCTACCCAAATAGCTGCCACCTGATCCACTGATGGTTTGTTATAAACCCTTTGGTCTAATGATGCATTTGCAGCTATGCGTATTTCCATATTTTGAAAGCTTGTATGTTCTTTAAGCTGTGAGAAGAATTTTGCATATGGATTCCTCTCCATTATGTTTCTTATTTTGATCATCACCTCCTCTGATAAGTTTGCATCTTCCAGTACCGACATTCTATTGGCTAATTCATGATCGGTATCATAGAAGTATAGTTGAAAGTACCGTGGTCTGTCATTGTTTGGGATTAATGATGGTAGATCATGATATACTCTCGTCCTTGTGCCTTGAAACTGTAAACTCCTTTCCTGGAAGATGCCAATTCCTTATCGATCTTAACTCCAAATGATGTAAACGCAAAGATGCTATTATACGCGCGTATATTTTTCCTGAATAACTTGGCATCTTCTGAGTCAGACACAAATAATTCATAAAAGTCATCGGCCACTTCATTAGGTGCTAAGCTGATATAGCCACCTCCGCAACAGAATGTCGGGGGTTCATATTGAAACCTCAGAGCATTGCAGTAGGTGCAATCTATTTCTTCTTCCAGTTTATGACTTGATGTTGTTGTCAAGTTGCAATTAATCACTGCTATACCGCCCAACAAAACAGTATTAATGAATGATTTGTATTTATGGTGATAGCACTAAATGTTACGTTGTTGTTAGTGTATAGTATCTGAGTTTATATACCTCCATCATCATTCACCTCTGATATAGCCATACGTTTAACTGATTTTTTCCGCTTCTTCACCTGTGGCTCATGAGCGTGCTCATCTTGTATTTGATTAGTTGATGCCACGAATTTTTGAACTCGTCGCAAGGCCCTTTCTACATCCGTGAGTATTTTGCGCTTGACCGCTGTTGAAAATGCGATGTGATGATATGATGTTAGAATTGCAGTATATTTAGTTGGTTTGTAAGATTGATTTTGATGTTAAAGATACATTTTCGGGAACAGACCTCTTGTTTTGGGCTGTTTATTCTGTTGCACTTCCATCTTTAATTGCAGTGCCTTTGAGAGAATGGTTTCCTGTTAGAAATTTGTTGACTGTAAAAATACATTAGTTGAAAACAGAATTGGGGGAGTGCTTATAAATTTTGTACTTATGCTATTATCTATATATAACAGGATAGTCTCTACGTAAGATGCTGAAGATGAAGCCACTATTTTTCTGCTACCATGGTTTTGTATAGTTTTCATTATTATGAGTAGTATAATCCATATATCATTACTGGATGCAGTTCACAGTGAAGGATAATGTATCTGATATGAATGTGTTATGATAATAAAGGAAAACTTACAATTTGTAATTCGCCGTGCGTGATGTTGTTGTGTAAAGTTTGTAGTCTTGCGAATTTTATTTAATATGACAGCATAACTGGGGATTGAACAAATAGATTCTGCTGACGGTTTGTGTAACTGAATGTGTCTTTGAGTGACAATGTATAATTATTTTGAAGAGATGGAACAATGGAATGTCAGGACTACAATATAATTGGAGGATCATGAATTTCTTGCAGAAGGCGCACAGTTGAGCGAGTTGTTATTGTCAGATGGAGCAATGCCATAGTGTTTTGAAGAGGGGCTTGTCGAAGTGGTGGGAACGATTCAGTAGGGAACTTTTGGACTGCGGCGCAACGCTACTGGAAAGTTGCGATGGTTTTGAGTAGGCGCGACTGTTGACCGATGCGTTGGTTTGTCGTGTCGGCTGTCCTAGTAACGTTAATGTTCTGGTTAAGCAGGATTGTATAATATACTATTTTTACTATTAACTATTCTAATTGCTTATTTTCAAATAAACTTTGAGATAATAGCTATTAAGGTGACGCATCTGTAGTAATTTTGGTGGTAATTTTATTAAACTTAGTTATTTATTATTAAATTCACTCTCCAAAAGCTCTTATACACATAAAATTAGTAAATTTAACTAATTAGGAAATAAGTTCATTTTAAATATCATAGTCACTTTTTAATAAATGAGAATCATTAAAGCAATGATGAGTTGAAGTTGGACATCAAATCAAGTTTTAAATTTTATATATAGTAAGTAAGCGAAGGTGAACTAAAATTAGACATAAAATCAAATTATAAAATATTTATCGTAAGTTATTACTACCATTAATAAGGAAGTTATTACTATTATTCACGATTAACGTACATGTGCGCGTCAAATATATTTTCAATTGTAATAATATTTTAATTGAAAAATAACTAATTTGAATTTTTTTTTAGTAACAAAAATACATATAGTCTCATAGATAGTGTTTTGATTTATATAAAAACATAATGTCTTTGAAATTTTACCCTAAACTAAATGTAAAGTGAGGATATGTCGTAAAAGACACCAAACATTATTCAAACAACTTTTCCTTCTTTGGTATTATGAAGATTAATAATAAATGTGGTGTCTGGTGAATTGGTATTTGTGCTAATTAATTAATGAAGTTACTTTTTTCTGCAATGGTATGCAAATTTAATAGTATTCAATCTCCGTGGGAAGTAATCACTGTACATATGAAGCATAATATATTTGTAAGCATCTTTAGGTGGATAACCATAGTTTGTTTGGGGGAGTCTGTGGTAGCCATTGGAAAATGGTTGTCTATGGTAGAAGGTAATATGGACCAGAGGCTATATATACAAATAACACATGAATTTCACACATAAATAGATAATAAGATACAAACATTGGTTATACGGTATAAGCCACACATTGTTTAGTTACAGAATTTAGAAAGACGTCTAATCTTTAGCGGCTTTGGGTTTCTTTTGGTTGATTTGGGCCGCTGCATTTGTGGTTTTCTTAGCCCTCTTCCTGTACTTCCTCACTGATCTGACTTCTTCTTCAAGGATAATTGGTGCTTCATCTTTTAGTTGATGTATTTCTTCGGCAATTAAGCTCCTACGGGGGTTTGCATCTGTCAAATCAATTCTGACAAGGAAGTTGAATTGTTTGTCTTTACTCAACACCAAATTGCGGTAGTAGTGACATTCTTCCTTCTTTATAAGATATAAACAATTGAATATGTTAGTTTGAAGGTTGGCAGTAAGGTACACATGATACTATGTAAATACGACGTGAATTCAGTGAACTCTTTCAATAAATTTCATACATTTATTGAGGTTGTTTGTATGTACTCTTGCACCTTGCAGCCTAGTAAATTATTAGCCGCTTCAAAAAGTACGACTTGAGCACGTTTTTCTCCACCACACACTTCAAGTCGTAAGCAATATCTTCAACATAGGGGTAAAAATTTAATATGAAAAGTTTGTGTCTTGTAAGGAGTAGATGTTTAATGGAGTTTTAACAGAGTCTAACCTCATTGCATATTCTACATTATCAATGTTGCAATTAGTACAAGCTGCAGCCTCCTTTATAACTTTGACTTTCTTGCGGCATGTTTTGCACGACAAATACCATGGCTCATCTTTATTGAGTATGTCTACAATCGTTGCTTTGAACTTGTACATAGAATCCTGCAAAGCACCAATATACCACATTTGTGAATATATGTTAAATATACATCTAAATTTTATTTATGGAGGGGTGGATTATCGGTTAGTATGTACCTGCGATTCAGCCAACAACCCATTGAGAATATGGTCCAACGGAACTTCTATAGCTCTTTTCATTGCCTTAGTTGGTGCTACTATAATATCTTTGTTGTCAGCCTCTATGATTTCGCGCCTGTATATACAATGAGGTTAGTTAGTGGTGCGAGCCATTAAGAGTGAGGTGTGTTCAGTGCATATGCTTTTCAGGTATATGGGTATATGCAACTACAGAACAATGATAATAGAGGGATTATGTCGTGTTAGAGCAACGTTTGATTTCACTTGGCTACAATAGTGAAGTGTAGTTTGATCATATGTTTAGGCAGTTGGGTTAAAGTAACCGTGCTGAACACATTTGTGAATAAGGTAACGTACCAGGCTCGAAGGTCGAGTGCTTTTTGGAAAATTGGATTGATTAAGACGCTGCTCACAGGAATAGTAGAGATCCCAAATCGGCCTAGTATGAGAAAGACATGTTAATGTTTACAAACAGGAGCTATAGTCAGTTTATAGTCGTTGAGCGGCTACAATAGACGGTTGGATACCTTTATAGATTGAAACTCTAACATCACATAAGCCGAGTATAGGCTTATCGTCTTTAAGCTTATCAAGGAATGCACCGTCATTTTCAGCAAAATCGCCCCAAAGAGTTACAGTTGTAGGCTCCATCCTACAGTATCAGTTAGAAGTAAAAAGTCAGGGCACCGTCATATATTTATATAGATGTTAGATTATGAATCAGCAAAACTTACAACTCATTTGTAACAACTATTTCTCGCCTCTTCGAAGTTGCATTTTGAATGATGGGATTCACCGAAACTAAGACGCAAATCAAGTCTGGAAATTGCTCGTGTAAATTAGCGATAGCACTTACGTAATGGAGCATGAAAATTACAACTTTGACGTTTGGATAGTTACCTAGAACAGAACCATTAGGTAAGTTATCAGCAGCGTCTAATGATAAAAAACCATCAGAAAATTTCTGTGTTGAAACCTCATGGTCGGTCTCCTTTATGACAGTGTTGTCTGTAAAGGCCAATTCAACTTCTTTATGCACAGAAGAGTAGTTGGGGTTGACACGATCATAGCGTCCTTTAGCAATGTAGTAACTCTTATTTGGCTTCAAAAAGTCCTTCCATGTTTCGATATGCTTATTAAATAGCGTTGTTTGAATCTTTGTGCCCTATTATTAAGCAAGTGTGGCATAAGTAGAACAAATAGTAACAGTGCGATAACGGAAGTAAAAGTGTCAATGGTGTTACCTCTTCGTCAACTAATATAATTGTTCTATAAGTTCCTTCATTCCTTGAATTTTTATAAGGTGTTATTGAACCTCTGCGAATAACTAAGACTCTAATCACAGATTCAATAGAGTTTTTTGGTATCTTGTTTATCGGTACAGACTGTTTTGCTAGTTCCGTTTCAGTCGCCATGTTGGTTGAATATTGATGACTGCAGGTACCTGAGGACATGAGTGCAACAATGTTATTTCAGAATGGCTACGAAAGTGTATGTAACCAGTTGAAGGAAAAAACAAAATTGTCCATGTAGGTATGCGACTGTTGTTGTTGATGCCAGGGGATGGAACAAAGTGACGGTTTCCATATGAATGTGTTTCATATTGCCTTATTTTAGACTGTAATTTTTTCCAAAAATAACGGAATGTCATTCAGAAGGGAAGAACTTACAATGTGGTAATGAAATCGCACAGCATATGCTAAGTTGTTCTGTTCGAAAGGCAAAGCAGATGCGTTGATGATGTGTTTGAGTTTTTGTCTGAGTGCCAATGCTTAAACTGTATTTGTGGTGTGTTTGATGGGGGGAAAGAATCTCAGTGGCAGACATAGAAATAGGGGAAAGTGGTAGGGTGCGACTGTTTGTTATTGCTGGACGGAGGTGTTGTTTCATTGAGGAGGCGGCAGAAGTGGTGTCGCTTAGTAATGGTCGTTGTTAGAGGCGAAGAGGGATGTTGAAAGTGTAGCAGTTTGAATTGGTGGCATTTCCGACTGGGTGTATGTATATAGCGCAGGGGCTGTAATGTGGGATAGGGGTATTTTAGTATTTTAACATTAAGGTTAGGAGTTGATGCTTTTAAAGTAATATAGATTATGTTTCAAATTCAAACTCTAAGAAAAAAGAAATTTGAGGCCCACATGGATCCCCAAAGGCTGCCACATAGAGGCCCAACAAAAGAACTTAAATTTGGCCCAAAGTGGCTAAATAGTTCATAAAAGTTGGGATTCGAACCCCTTATTTAGGAATTAGGAAAAGTTTCTTCGAAATAGGTAATTAGTTTTATACTAATTATGTAGATAATAATTTATATAAAACTAATTATAATTTTAAATTTATTTTAATAAAAATTAAATATATTAAGTCAAGAATTAATTTTACCTCCTAAAAAATGTTTCTTGTAAAGTTACAAGATAAATTTATAGACGACACACACAAAAGGTGAAAAAGAAAGATGAAAATCTCTCAAACAATATCAATCATAATGTTCTGCTTTAAAAAATAAGTTTATCCCAAATAACATGAGATTCAATTCTAACTTTTATGAAAATGATAAGTAATAAAATTAAATTAGAAAACTTTAAACTAGAAAAAACATGTAAAAATGAGGATAGATTTCATAGAATTGCTATTATAGCATTATATTCATCTATTGCCATAATATTTTCCTTTTCAAACATAGTAATATTAGATGACACTACAACAAACATAGTTTGTACCGGTAGAAATATAATATTAACAAAGAGTGCTAATTTTTTTATCGATATTAGTTAATTGTTATGAGATCTAATGTAGTTATAGGCTTTAGCTGCATTAGTGCTAAAATGTAATCTTCACTAGAAATTACTTCTAAAAATGTATTTAGTGACAATTAAGCTATTATATTATTATTAATTAATTACTGCTAAAAAATATTTTTGATTTGGTGAGAAACTCACTTCCCTATCCTCTACTCTATTAGACCATGAGAAATTTATAAGAACACAAGTATGAATTATATGGTACTCCTATTTCATTGATACAAGTATGCATTAGTGAAAATAGGCCTAATCCATCGGTGGCCCCCTAAATTTGGCACGATCTTTCACTTAGACACCTTAACTAGGCTTTGTTCATTTTAGACACCTCATGTCACGCCCAACTGTGTCAATTTGACACTTTTTCGATAATCTGCCAAATTTGTAAGGTGTGTGTAACACACTCGCTGATGACGTGTCAAAGTGACGAATTAAATAAAGACACGTGGCATATATATAAAAAAATAATTATTAAATGATAATCTTGAGTAGGAAAAAAACTACCAATGACTCATTGACATGTGGCATTTCTTTAACTAAATAATTTTTAAAAAAAACACTTTTAATAAAAAGAAAATTATATCGAATGTTGTGAGATAAGAACGTTTTTCTTCTAATAGATTAATGTTTGAATGCCTGATTTGGTGAATGTGCTAATGCATTTGCTTGACCTTTTTGGGGTTTTTTTTGTTTCTTTTTTGCTGGAATTCTGGGTCAGTGCAAGTCAAAATTTAGTTCTTTGGTACATAAATATGGAGGTCCCAAACTTTCTACTAAAAATTATATAGCTTATCTATTTGATTTGGACTTTTTCTTGTGATTATGATGTGAGAAGGCATACAAATGGATTGGACCGCTAAAATTGTTTGTTGTGAATGTAGGATTTGATAATTGAAAATATGATTTCTTGCCATTTCTGAGTGTTTTTTTCTTCTTGAAATTTATGTTGATTTTCTCAAATTATTTTTGAGGAGGAAGAAGGACAACAAAATAAGTGAAAGTATTTAAGCTTAAAATTTATGGGCGCTAGAATTCACCTTTTGTTTGTGACATCGTCAAATTTATTTCACAATGGAAAGAGTTTAAGCTTGGAAAATGGTAGCCAAAAAATGGGGAAGAAGAAGAAGAAAAAAAAAATTAAAATTTGGTAAAATGAAGCTCTCATGCGCGTCTAGTGAGTGTATCACACTTGCTATGCCATCTCAGCAGAAAGTGTCAAATTGACACAGTTTGGCGTGACATGAGGTGTCTAAAATGAACAAAACCTAGTTAAGGTGTCTAAGTGAAAGATCGTGCCAAATTTAGGGGGCCACCGATGGGTTAGGCCGTGAAAATAATAAGACAGATTTGAATCTTTTCTTTGGCCATGTCAATCCAAACACACTAAAAATGTGTCCATTCTTTTGAAGTGTCACTACTTGTAGTCACACCAATCATTTCATTCTAATATCACTCTAAATTTCGAACTATATGATCTTCGAGCAGTACAAAGTAAACGCCTTTCTTAGAAGCGGGTAGTATTCTATTATTTTCTCTTGCTAATGATCAATAGTTCCTTTTTCCCATAAATAGTTAACGTGGATTATAGAGAGATTTTAAATACGTTATAATCAGATTTTATAACTAAATTAACCCGATGTCCACCTAAATATATCATATCATATTTATAATGATACTTCATTGGTATATGATTAGGGACATAAGTAGCATTTTGATTATAGATTTGGCAAAATTAGTAAGCTAATTTGATGTAAAAAGTTCTCTATATTTACGTTAAAAAAATTGTTTATGTAAATGTTTGACTAGAAAGTAGAAACTAAAAAACTTTCTTTTTTTAAAAATAAAAATAAAAATAAATAAGAGAAGGTTGATATGTGCTATACTTCTGACATTTTGCAAATGTTAAAGGTAGAGAATGATAGGTCATGGAGGAATCCAAAATTGAGTCACGGGCATCTTTAGGTCATATCAATGTTTATAAGTTTTTTTTTTTAAAAAAATATCTTATTAGATATACATCATATTACATATTTTAGTTTTATCTATATTTTAAAATAATTATGTATTTTATCATTATTTAAAAGTTTCCAATCATATATTGAGGAAGATGCACTTAAATACATGTATACGAGCGAGATGGGGAGGAAAGCGAACGAAATAGTCAGATATTTCAAATACAATCACACTAGATACTCCCTCCGCTCCGTCCCTATTTACTAGTCAATCTCACCACTGCATCACAACCATGTTAGTTATATGTTAAAATCAATCATTGCCAATGGGATATTGTATTCTGATCAATATGTTGTTTGCTTAACATGGTATATTTCTTATAGGAAATGAATATGAAATAAAATTCTCCTCATTTCTTTTGTGGTGTTAGTGTTTTGCTTAAAGAAAAACAACTACTCCCCTTCGTTTCATTTATATATTTTTTAAGTTGATGGGACACAAATTTTAAAAATTTAGGAGATTTCTTTTAAATTTTATGGTTTTCCTTGAATTAGAATATTAAAAGTGAATCAAGAGATATATCTAAAAATATGACCAAGTAAAAGACATCAATTACAATAGAGTGAACATAGGTGATAAAATCAGTCAATAAAATTATAATCCGTCTAATCCGTTTAGATTTTGACAAATTAATACAATATCAAAATGCAAAAATCCAAATTTCGACTCTAAGAACAGTAAAATAAAGGATAGAAAACCAAACACAAAACGAAGCTTAATTGAAAACTATAGTTATATAAAGCTTAAAAACTCATTTAAATGGAATCCAAAAGGCACATACACTATAAGATAAACCCTAGGAGGAATTCTTCTTTTCGCAAGCAATCTGCTCCGTCCATTTTTAATTGTCATAATTTCCTTTTTGGAGTCAAACGATGAAAACTTTGACTAACCTTTTACGATGTATTTTTTCATCATATTGATATGCAAAAAAATTGAAATTTATAGTAATTTTCGTATAGTTTTTGAATATCTAAATTTTTCGTTTAAATTATCGATTTAATACAATCTAATTTAACTTTGAAAATTAGTCAAATTGACTTTAGAAAAACGCTTTGTCATTACAATTAAAAGTGGACACATTGAGTATATATCAACAATAAAACACTTATAATGATTGTTACAAAAATACTTTTAATGAAAAAAGAATCTTCTTATTCTTCTTAATTAGTTATGACTACTTATGAGGGCTTATGTTTTAAGAATTATAACATCTTTATATACATAGTTTTTTTCTCCCTTCTTCAAGTAGTCTTTAAAGTGGAGCCTTGTGTTTTTATTTTAGCATTTGTGAGATTATAAAACTCTTCATTTCAAGTACATTCCAAGCCTCCAAAATAGTATTTCAACTCACTTAATTCAGCACATTTGAAAGCTAGATTGATATATATGCAGTTCAAATATTGCCACATGAGAATTTTTGTCTAAACATTTTTAAAAAAAGATATTGTTTTATTCGATATGTTTTACAGTCATAAAATAAGGATGAATTAAGTTATGATTTAATTTCAAACCGATTTCAACTCAAATAACCGTTGAACGAGTTAATGACCTGCTTATTTATTAGACCAATCTATTTTAACCGGCCTTATTTCAATCCAATCCACCATTTGACACTGCGAAAGGTTGGCAAGTAGTAGGCATTATTATTGTCACATCTGATTATGTTGTATTGGTGTTAGGTGTCCCTAGGACCCAAACGATAATACAGAAATATAGAAAAAGTCATTTTAGAAAAAAGAAAGTTGGTTCTATAGTTTCTGCTTTAATTTACTACATTATTACATTTTCCAAGAATGATATTGACATTGATTGGACGCAATTAAATACTAAAAAAAACTCGATGGTGAAAATCACTTCAAACATACTAAAATGTCATAATCCCAAAAATATATTTTCATTAAGAAATAGTACTAGAAGCTAGCTAGTTGTTAATAGTGATTCAATGAGTGGACAAAAAATAATGAGTCATGATAACTTTGAGCAGGGCCCGTCTCACCCGATGTTGGGGCCCTCAAAATTAAAAATTGCCCACGCACCAGATGCTAAGCACTGGGTGTGAGGTGGGGTGTTAAAGAATGACAAAAAACCCCACATCGGTGGTTAATGAGATGGGTGGACTCTTTATAAGGCTTGGGCAATCCTCCTCTCTTTGAGCTAGCTTTTGGGGTGTGAGTTAGGCCTAAGACCTAATTTAACACAAGCCAATTGAAACTACATAAAGCTGGTCTCGTAGACTATACATTGTTTAGTAAAATGGGTATAACTTTATCATTAGATCAGCAGATGTCCCTTGATCGATGGATTTGTCAAGGCCAAAAAATTAGACACGGAGAGACATTTCGATCTAATGAATTTATATTAGCATCATACAATGAAATTAGTATCCTTTATTTAGCTCATTACCTTAATAAATTAAAATGAGTCATAATAACTTCCTCAAGCAAAAAAAATAAAATAGAAAAAAGATATTTCCGGCTCATGTTTGACTTGACAGATCCTTAAAAATAGTATAGTGGTAAAAAAAACAAAATGATAATTTACTAAAAGACTCTTTAATATGATGATTTTTTGGAAAAAAAGAAAAGAAAAGAGACTAATACCTTCTTGGCTTCTTAAAATAATAAAATTCACTTGTTTTGAAACAAATTAAAAAGGCTAGAAAATCACTTAAGAGGGAATGAGAGTAAACTCAAAAATGCAATATCTACAAATTAAAAAATAATCTTTTTTAGTGTGAAGCAATTCAGTAAAACAAAATTTATTGTTCCGATTAATTTAAGTACATATCGTGCAGAACATACCAAGTTGAAATAGCCCTTGCCATGAACTTTTTTTGAGATTTAAACTCAAAATCTATGAATAATTTAATGATTGAAAAAAAAAACTCATTCTCACACTCTTGATGGAAATTAAATTTTCAACTCAAAGTACACTATATAATAAGTAACAATAAGAATCATACAACATAAACTTGAACATGCCACATATCAACACATATTTATAATTAAGGAACTTCAAATACTTAGATATTACAATAATCTTCAAATGAAACCAACCAATTACCATCTCAAAGTAAATTAATATAATGTCTTCACACCCCTCAACCTCAAAGGACAAACTTGATTAAATCTTGACAAATCAATTAATTAAGAGCATTGGAAGCCAGCAGGAGCTTCTTTAGAGCAAACATTAAGAAGCAAACTAAGTGAAATAGGGAGATTAAGGTTAATCCCCAAAATATTAGCCTTAAGAGCAGTACAAAGACAAATAGCAGCTTCAGCATTAGCAAGTCCAGAAAGAAGACTACAACATGGAGTTACTGGTGGTGAGCCAACAATAACATTTACTAATCCAAGAACATCAGCACAAACACCTAACTTAAGTGTATCAATTGGACAAGTTTCTTTAGGATAATAAGGTGGTGGTGGGCATGATGGCTTTGGTTTTGGTTTAGGTTTAGGACAAGTGCCACAACTAGAAACTAAGGCAAAGAAAAGGTTAAAGCAAAGGAAAATAGCAAGACAAGGGAAAATGTGTTTGGAAGCCATTGTGTTTTTTTTTGTTGTTTTGGTTTTTGGTTAAGTGATGAGTGCATAGTTGTGTTAGAAGTAGAGGGTATTTATAGATTGGAAAATGTGAAGGGATAACCTATTTGTTGAATGAGTGTTTCTTTTCTTTTAGTTTTTATTATTATATCTTGGGCTTATTATAATTAATGGCAAGACATGAAATGGATCTTAGGTCTGACTCAACTTTAAAATAAGTTTAAAATGGTTATGAGACTATATTAATCAAGACAGATAAAAAGATTACTCATTTCATTATTGATCGATGTGAGACTACTTCATCACCTTCCTCACATTCAAGACTGGACATTTCTAGTGTGAATAATTGTAATATGGGGTTCAACATTGTGATCGCGAATTGAGATATGAATCCTGCTCTGATACGTACCATATAAAGACATATGAGTCTTAAACCTAACTGGTCAATCTCAAAAGCTAACTAAAGAAATGAAGATTTTTCAAGTCATATAAAAAGGCCACACATCCCATAATTGGTCCATGTGAGATTTCTTCATCAGTTACGCTATAAACATAAAATTAATTTGTAAACAACTAAAACTCTTCACTATGCCAATATACAACCAGACTTTGTTAATAATCATTCTCTATAATAATATTTAACTAATATCGATTATGTGAGTTTTGGTTATGCTTAGACGAATTTTGTCTCTCTCAATCCCCTTTTTTTGAGTTTTGCTTCTCATCCTTCTTCTATGATTCTATCATTCCCCTTAATCGGGGAATCTTAGCTTAGTTGATTAGCTACCTAAACTATGAATTCGATTTTTCATCTTATGATTCTCTTTTTCATTTCCCTTTCTCTTACCCCCTTTTTTTTTAAAAAAAAAAAAAATAATTAAAAATTCCCCTTAACAATTTAGTTATTGATTCAACAATTAGCCTTCTTCTTTCATTGTGAGTGTTTGTATTTGGAGGTTGTTACAAGGTGTCGGTAACCCAAACTAAATAAAGTTTGCAACCTTACTAATTTCCACTAATTACCCACCATTCTTTAAGCACCATATATCATTATTGGGTAGTTTGTTAGCTCATCGGAAAGTGAGTACTTAGGAAGGTATTAAATTTTGTATAAGTAATACGTATTATGTTTAATAGCTTAGGAGGTAAGTCATTAATGTATAAAATTATTATGGTATTAATTTGGAATTTAGAAATCCGCATGACTAATACATGTATAAGTAATAATGAAATTTTTTATGTTTTATTTTATACAAGACGGAAGGTGGAATAACTAAATCTTGCGTAACTAATATATACATAAAACAATATATACATGAACTCCCTTATAACTACTTCATTCATAACTTATACAAACATAACTCTAATCAGTTGAACGACCCCTAAGGGCAATGGCATAACCAGTTTTGGGTTAACGTAGGTTCATCCGAACTTCCTGAATTAACCAGAAAATTACACTATTTATACATGATTAAATTATTTTTTTATATAAATACATAGTAATGATGATTGATGAACTCCTTTAGGCTAGTTGTGTGTTTACTCTTTACATTTTTTATTACCCTTAGAATATCTTTTTTTTAGAATATTTTTTAGCTTTGTCACTATTTAAAAGTATGTATGGTAATGAAGAAAATATTTTGTAACAAAATAAGTGAGTTTCTTATTTTTATTCGTATCGAAAATTCTAAATTATAAAGAAAACGTGTAGGGCTTAAGGACGCGGTTTAAAACAAGAGAAGAGACATTCGAAGACATTTCTTGAACACTAGTATTGTCGTTGTCTAAAATCCATTATTATAATATCTCATCACATTAGTAGAGTTGTCACTTATCATCGCGAGGATTAGATCGGGATAAATAGAATTTTTTCATTCTTAATAAAGAAAAAATTGATTCAAGTTTTGAGAATAAAACAAAACAAAATTGTGATTGGAGGGTTTTCTTTTAATGAGCTTTTATGAGGCACAAATCTAAATTAATCGAGATAAATATGTATGTACTATACACAAAAATGTTGAGTTGCCGATTGATTAAGCAATTTTAATTTATATCCAGATAGTGTATCTTATTGTCTCAGAGTATTTGTCACGATTTGCTTTTAGAGAGTAAAATTATATGAACTAATAATTAGTTCAGAACTATGATCAATATTTTAAGATGTATTTTCTTTTGGATAAGAAGACCTAAAACACCAGTCAAGGGAAGAAGGTCAGTAACAAAATGAAATCTTTCTTTTTCAGCTAAGTTTGCACATAAATTATTCACTTGCCGCCGATAACGTGACCATCTCCAAAAATATGGCTCAATTTGTGACATATCTACTATAGGGGGAATGCAATATGATGTATATAAAAAAAAAGATGGACAATCAAACCTATTTATCGATTCACTCAAAGAGGTGAATAGGGTCCCAAGTGTTGGGAGACAACCTTCCGCCGCGGTAATATGAGCTTTCCCTTTTCTTAATGTTACACAAGATGCGCAATGGGGGTAGTACAAGAATATGCAAAAAATTGACAACTTAGAATTTTTTCGTATAGTTTTTAAATATCTAAATCTTAACTAAATATAAAATTAATCTAATCTAATTTAGCTCAAAAAATTAATCTAGATTGACTCTCGAAAAAGAAAACTTACCTAACAACTATTTTGGGAGAGTGAGAATATTAAGGAAGGCATTATGGTAAAGCACTCAAAGTAGGATTAAATTTAACTCCTTTAATAAAGATGTACTTCATTTATTGGCTTGATCTACCTAGGCAACATTGATTTGGAACCTAAAATGAGAATTATGGTTAAACCTTTCACTATCTCTAATTAAATTGATGTTAACCATCATATAAGTATTATTATTATATTATTATAAAGAAGATGGAAAAAGAATGTAACAGCCATGTGCTATAATTGCAATATTTTTGGCTCTATGCAGAAAACACAGCCAATATTTTGGAGGTTAGCTAAGAACACAAGCCCAACTTGGGATCTGATTTTTTCTCTTGGTTTGCTAATTATCAGATACAAAAGAAATCATCTGGTTCTTCTTTTCCAGCTATTTTTTCTTTCTTTTTGGTACAAAAAATATTACGTGTTTTAGTTTATGTGGCACAATTCAAATTTCGTTTAGTTAAAATTTTAAAGTCTAACCATGAATTCAGACATTTAGTTAGAATTTACAAAATAATATTTATATATATGTGTGTAAACTACATAAAAAGTATTACAAGTCACAATAATTAATAATTTAAAAGGCATATCAAGAAAATAATGGTTAAAAACCAAAAGCTCGTACTCTTGAAATATAAGAGATATGGGGCGGACCCTTCTTTATCCCGGGATGTCAAGCGACACCCCTTTGTCGAAAAATTACATTGAATATAGAGGTCAAATTTTGGTTCAATAATTGTGTGTATACAAGTATTGACACTTCTTGACATATGTTAAAGGCTTATAATCTAGTGGTTAAGGTGTTGTGAAAATTTCTTGAGGTCGTGTGTTAGGTCCTACTAGCCTCATAATTATATTTTTTATTACAACCATTGACACCTCTTAATGAAAATTCTAGGTCCACTACATAAGAGATGTCACATAAATTGGGAGAGAGTTAAACATGCATCGTAACGGATTTGGAAGAAGAAACAAGATTTCAACTTTATGAGTTCGGAATTTTAGGATAACAACTTCAAATAATAATAACTAAGTTTTAAATCTAATATTAGTAAATATTTTATGAAAATTTCAATACAAATAAACAGTTGAATTAAGTAGGTGTTTGGTCATGTGCATATCGTGTTATGAAATCATAAGATGAAATCAATGTTTGGACATGTGATTTCACGTTGATTTCATCTCGTGAGATGAAATCTCAAATTCTCCAAAACTCATGATTTGGGATTTGTTAAATATAAAACTTGACCCACAAATTTATATTTTGTAAAAGAACATTCTCATTTATAACTACTGATCATTTATTTTGATATATAAATAAAGTTATAAAATTCATACCATTACTTTTTAAATCATTTATATCTCATATAACAATTATTCTCACCAGTTTGATATTACTTCAAATCAATTCCTACTTTACTATTTATATTCACCAAATTCAGAGTTAATATCTTAAAAGGTCATTGAACTATAGAAAATTATCTAGTAAAGTCATTGAACTTTATTTTGAATCAATAAAATCACTCAACTTAAAGTTTTTATCTTAAAAAATCACTCAACTTCATTTATCATTAAAATAAACTTGACATGATAAAATATAAAGATTATTTTTATGTCATGTAATTATAAACCCCAAAAATAAATAACCTTATATAATCTATTTATTACCAACCAATGTTCAATTTTGATTTTTTTATTAAATTAAGTTTGATCAATTTATGTTGTATTTTTTAGAATAGTTTTGTGATAGTGTATTATGAGATTTTGTAAGCTTTTACTTATTTGGTAATATAGTATAAAGATTTGAGACAATTTGAATAATTTTACAACTTATGAGAGTTTTATGTATGAGAAACATACAACATAAAAAATTCGCATATCCAAATAACACTTTAACTTCATATCACAAAGCCAAATTAAACGACCACTTCTAGATTAAAAAAGGAAAAGAAAAGAAGATATTACTAAGAATTTTTTCGTTTGCTGGTAAGTTGGCCACTTCTTTTTCCTTTTTTGGTTTCTCATTTAGTATTCGGAGCCCACATGGGAGCCCCTACTAAATTCGGATCACGCACTGCATGCATAGCATGATCCATTTGGAATAGCGCATTCAACAAAATTTTCTTCATATACAAAACTCGAATCTTGAAACCTTTGATTAAGAATGAAGTGCTCCTGCCACAACCCATGTTAGTTCAGACACATGTTCTTTTCATCTAACTATGAACACAGAATTCTAAGTACTAGTGGGCTATATTTGTATGGGGTACAATATGTTAGTTGTCCTTGTCAAATGATCGAGTGGCTTAGGATTCACCAAGAAAATATCTTTTTGT